AGAACTTCTGTAGGTGGCAGCGTGGGGAGTTGATGGAGAAGTCTGCAGTGTAGAGGGTGAAGAGGAACGGTGCCAGCACAATTCCCTGTGGGGCCCCCGTACTGCAGACAAGCGTATCAAAGACACAGCCCTGTGACATCACATATTGTGGGCGTTCTGTGAGGTAGTCCAGAGTGGTGGTCCACTCCCGATAGCTCCAGCTTGTCTCTCAGAAGTCGTGGCTGGATGGTGTTGAAAGCACTAGAGAAATCAAAGACCATGATCCGCACAGTGCTTCCAGGCTTCTCCAGGTGAGTCAGAACTCGGTGCAGGAGGTAGATGATGGTGTCCTCCACCCCGATGCCAGGCTGGTAAGCAAACTGCAGCGGATCCAATCAAGACCTCACCAGGGGGCGCAGAGGGTTTAGAACCAACCTCTCGAGGGTCTTCATCAGATGTGATGTCAGGGCTACCGGCCTGTAGCTGCAGAGGTCCTTGGGATGGGAGGTCTTTGGTACCGGTACCGGAGAAGACTCTCTTCTTCTCCTTAAGGAGAGCCTTTATTTCAGGATTTATCCATGACTTGTTGTTAGAAAAACACCGTACCTTTATGATGGGTACGGTGTTGTCCACACAGAAGTTCATGTAATCCGTAATGCAGTCTGTGATGCTGTTGAGGCCATCCTCCAAAGGGCTGCAGAGGTTGTCCCATACAGTAGAATGGAAACAGTGCCTCAGGGCCTCTTCAGTCTCTGCCAACCATTTCACAACTGGTTCTCTGTGTACTAAAGGTTTATACACAGGCTGGAGATGAACCAGGTTGTGATCTGAGCCCCCCAGGGGAGGGAGAGGTGATGAGCTGTATGCCTCCTTGGTGTTAGCATACAATAAGTCCAATGTTTTATTGTCTCTGGTGTGGTAGGTGACATACTGGGTGAAGGCGGGGAGAGTGGAGGATGGGGAGATGTGATTAAAGTCCCCAGAGATCAGGAAAAGGGCCTGAAGATGCTGTGTTTGGAGTCTGCTGG